GCTGGATGTCTGGCTTTCGGGTTCCTGGAGGGTAGGAATGTCCAGGTGGTGGAGGTGTGGGGTCTGGTGCTGCTGGGCCCGAGGAAGCAGCGTGGCAGGCAGGAGAGAGGAGGCGGGCAGCGCCTGGCCCAGGCCAGACAAAGACCGGTTTCTGGAGAGCGGGTTTACAAGCTTCTGTAGCAGGGAGCTGCCTCGTAGCGCTGGTGCTGCCAGGGTCTTCTGGTTCTCCTCTGCTGGTGTTTAATAAACCGGGAGAAGTGTTAAACCAGCAGAAATGCGTTAAGGCCCAGATGGCGAAGTAGACCAGCTACCCAAGCGCAGGCACGCATGCCTGGTGAAGAGAACTCCTCTCTGGCTCCTGTTTTGAAAACCTCACCGCCTCCCCACTACATTGGTAGACGTTTCCCACTGACCCCTAGGCTCTGGTTGGTGTCTTTCTCTTGAAGGGATTAAAGTAAAGACGCGAAAGGCGGCAGGAAGCAGGAGAGGGAGGGAGGCACTCGGTCAAACGGACAGGGATCCCGAGAGTAATAGAAAATCAGGGCGCGCCTCCCTCCGCCCCCCCAGTGCTATAAACAAAGGCAAGTGTCTGTAAACACAGCCCCGCGCCCACCGCGGCGGCCCAGCGCCGGCTGACCCGAGGGGAGAAAGTTCAGATCGCTTTGGCCGAGTTGTTCTAACCCCTCGCCCTCGCGTCGTCAGCTGCCCGCAGAAGAGACCCGCAGAGGCGCTCGCCGCCTCTCCCGGCCCTTGCGAATTCGCCCGCTGCAGGCGGCGGGCTCCGAGTGGGCACCGGCCGGGCGTGGGAACCGCCGGGAGATCAGGGGAGCGTCTGTGCCCGAAGCCGAGGTGCGAACACCACCTGGAGGATGGGTTCCAACATGGAAAGCCTCTGGCTCGCCTCCCTAACACCAGATTTATATAAGTGGCGTTTCATGAAACAAACCACTTTTTAATACGTTTCACCTTTCTTCCCTCCTCCCCCCCCCCTCACTCCTGAATCCCTCCCCTCCTCTCCCCCGCCCAGGCCGGCCCAGTCCTTTTAGGCGCACCAGTCTCTCTGGTTCCTAAAGCAGAGACTCGGGATCTAGCCAAGCCCACGGGCAAAGGAGGCCTCAGGGACTTCCTTCCGGGTCGTGCTGGGACTTGGGGAGACCAAACCTCGGACGACGAGGGGGGTGGGGGTGGGAGCTGGTAGTCCCGAGAGGGAGCCGCTTGCTGGGCTGGCTTGTGGCCGGTAGGACTTCAGACGCCGCGCAGTTAATATTGAATTCCCTGTAGCTCACTGTAAACCTAGCCCTCACTACGCATCCCTTTTAAATCCATGGTCCTGCTCGAGATTTCTTACTTGATGTTACCTAAGTTCCTGATCACGGGCTTCACCCCCCACCCCCTCCGCCCCAGGCCCTCCCTCTGCCCCGCCAGCTCAGATGAGAATACACTCCCCTGCCCCCTCCAGACCACGCAAAACCTCCTCTTTTTCTCTTTCTCTTTTTTAGATGAAAGCCCTATATTTTGAATTAAAGGCTTTAACGCCTGGGATTCTCCTCAAACCCCGTCCACCAGAAATGTACTCCCCCCACCAAAACCGAAGCCCCCACCCAATGGCTTCTGGTTGATTTTAGGAAAACAAGGACCCCTTTCCACCTTCTGGGGGAACGACCAGACCTTTCTCCAGCCCAGACCCTCCTCCTACAGACCGCTCAGCGTTCTCCCGGAGGTTGGGGGGGAGAGAGCCCAGGCACTTTGGCAGGATTTTCATCAAGGACCCTCTCTTGAAGGAACCTCCACGCCCTGGGGAGGAGGGATGCTCACGTTAATGACTCTTTCAAATAAAGTTAGAGGCAATCATAATTTAGTTTACTTCGGAATATTTTAAATATTATGAAAACAAATATAACAGTTTTGTTTTCAAAACTCTTTTGAGGTATCAACTATTAAAAGATTGGGGGTTTTGTAAAAAAAACACACAGTGGTTTATTGAATACTTACAACGTTTACACCTTCAATATTAATTAAATTCCACTTAGTTTTAGAGGACGGAAGTGCACAAAACAAGTAGCTGTTGGAAACATCTTGGAATAGGGAACAACCACGGATGAAACGAGACAGCACTAGATACCGACCCCAACGGAAATGTTAGCGGCCCCGTTTTCTGCTTTGAAATAAAGCTTTATAATCCCCAGGAATATTTATATCCAAAGGCCAAGTATTAAAGATACACTTCACATACACACCAAGGTCCGCTGTCTTTTATCTGGAAGCGGTTGGGTAGGTGGGGAGGGGGCCACGCTGGTGTCTATACAGCCAGGAGGGAACATTCAAACACAGAGAATCTACGAGACGACGGGATCCCTTACCACGCGGGAGTGTCCTCTTCATATTAAAATCTGGAATGCTTTTCTTCAAATATCCACTATTTTTTGGAGGGGGAGGTGGGGAGCGGATGCCTCATAGCGGGGCAAAGAGTGGGGAGGCAAATTGCACATAAATAAACCGGATGATTCCAAATGCAAGTAGTCCTCAGAGCCGAGCACGGACAGCTTGCCCCGAGTCCTGGGTCTGCATCTGGCTCCTGGGCCCCAGCTCACTCACGCTCTCCTCCTCCTCCTCCTCCATCTCCTCCTTCTCCTCCTCCTCACTGCTTGAGTTCCAGGGCCCAGACGTGCTGCGGCCAGCCTGTCCGGCCTTTGGTTTTCTTGTCGTTGCTGCTCACTGTGCTTTTCAAGATTTCGTTCTGGACAGAGGGGAGGCGAGGGGGAGAAAAGTGGAAAGAGAAATTCAGAGGGGAGACCTGGTTCCACATCACCCCCACGCTCCCTGGGCTCAGAGAGACAGTGAGACCGAGGAAGAGATGGGAAGTAAAATGGTTTTAAGTCGTAGTCCCTGCACAAGAGCTACGAAGACTGGCGCTGCCCTAGCTACCGCACAGGCCGCCAAGCGCCTGCAACACTCAACTACCGAATCCGCACGTTTATAAACAACAACCCGTTTGCAAGTCGCTTATGGAGGAGCTGGGGGCCCTTAGCGGGGGTTGGCTAAATATGGTTTCCCTGTCTTCAACTGCAATCCCAGATCCATGCGCTCAGGAAGATGGGGAGAAGTTCCCTCACCCTGGCTTGGGCCTGTGGGCCCGAGGTTTTCTAGCCCCTGGCTCCGCTGTGCCTCTCCGCCAGGCCTCTGAAATCCCTGGTTATTCTGGAGGTCACTCGTTTATGCAGCGACTAGAGCGCCTCGGGCCCCAAAGAAGAAACACTATTTTCCAGGCCCTTTTTGGCAAAAGCCCCGCTCTGAACCCCACCACCCTCAGGGCACTTGGTAGGAACTTGAGAAAACTAATTTTCAGTTATAATTTTGTGTTACGGTTAACAACAATAACAACGATCACAGTAATATTTACTATGTGTCTTAAAATGCGCAGGGCAATGCAAAGAAAACAAGAAATACCCATGAAATGTATTCCTCTGATAAATTACATTTTAACCTCATGGCGGAAGAGAAACTGGAGCTGCATTTTGAAGTTAAAAGTACTCATGGTATGTTTACCTTTACATCTTCCGGAGCACAGTAAGAACGACCATAAAACTCTCTTAGAAACAGTGGCAGTCTCCTTCTCAAGAGGTGGAAATGGAATCAATAGTGAAATAATTAGAATTGAGAGTTTTGGGGGCGACCTTTTTCTTTTTAATATCTGAAAGCATCGGATTGGAGGCCAAATGAAGATTCTAAAGGACACGAAATGAGGGGTCCGGGCCAGGGCGATCGGAAGATCAATCGCGACCCTGAGTCTGCGAGGTCGGTCCTAAGTGCTTGGGGGGAAGCAACGATAACCTGGAGGGAAGATCACCAGCGCCAAGCACCCCTCTTAACCTCCTCCTCTGGCTGACACCCTCCCCCACCTCAGCCCTCACACAACCCAGTGCAAACAACCTGGCTCCCGACGCAGCCGAAGAAAGCGGGATGCCATTGCTCAGCCCATTTGGAAAGAGACGGGGAGCACCGGTTCCCCGCAGCCCGCACCCCCACGGCCCCCTGCCCCCTGGTACTAACCAGCTCCTTCTTCCTCTTCTCTTCTTTCACATCTGTCTTCTTGATCTCCGCCTTGAAGGCCTCCGCCTCGCCGTTCTGGTCGTCCTTGGCCAGCAGGTCCATGAGGTAGGCGATGTAGCTGGTGGCCAGGCGCAGCGTCTTGATCTTGGAGAGTTTGGTGTCCGCGGGCACGTTGGGGATGCACTCGCGCAGTTCGGCGAAGGCGCTGTTGATGCTCTGAGTCCTGCGCCGCTCCTTGCGGTTGGCGGTGCCCCGGCGCTTCACCGGGCGCGGCCCCCCCAGACCCGGGGGCCCGGCGGCCCGGCGGTACCCCCCCCCGTAAAGGGGAGTGGGGGAGTGGTCCAGGCCGGCGGCGCCGCTGGCATACTCCGGGCTGTAGGACAGGGCCATGCTGTAGTCGGGGGGCGACATCTCGGGGTGGCCGATGAGCCAGCCGTGGAAGTAGGGGTTCTCCTCGTGGCTGCAGCGGCTGGCGGCGGCGGCGGCAGCGGCGGCGGCGGCAGCGGCGAACGGATAGCCTTCATGGTGCACCACCGGGTGGTGGGGGAAGCCCCCGACCAGACTCATCTCGCCCTCCGCGCCCCTCCACGCGCCCCAGCGTGCGCGCAGCCCCGCAGCGCCCTCGACCCGGGCCCCTGCTTCGGCGCTGGGCG